GGGAGGCGGGGTGAGTACGGTAATTGCAGTGACATTTGCCGCATGCCGCAAGGGAGAATGCCGCGATAGGGGAGAAGTTCCGTTACCCGTCATAACCTCGTATACCTCCAGATATTAGCCATTTTTTAAAATGCGAAACACTTCAATATTTGACCAGATGCTTACTTTTTATTTTCACCGACGACTAACTAGTGCCCATCAACGTGGGTAATCCTTTTACCCAATCCTACTTCATATAATGAATGCACACAGTGTGCTTGTTGGTTTGTCGGTTTGAGTGTTTGTCCGGAAATTGAAATAAACAAGGTTATCGCAAGCTGTTTCGTTAGGGATCCCTGCGCTTATCGAGCCCAAAATAACTATCGAACAGGGCACTTCACTTTCACTAAAATTCGAAGTGACGAGAGGCGTAGTAGAGGCATTGCCCACACAACGTGGGTTACTGTCTAGCAGTCCCGTCATGTGTATTGTCTCAACCGATTATTTGTTAGTTGTCTCGTCTGCAAAATTATTGCACGTCACTTGCGTGGCTTTCGGGTGTGTGAGAGTAACTTGTTTCAATTATTAGCTGTCAATCTTTTTTTTCAGGTAATTTGCTGAAGTGGAACTACCGTATACGATGCCTGAAGAATATCATTGAGAATTTTGAAAATTTTATTTATCATAAATAAAAGTATCACAACACAGAGAATCAGTATATCCAAAGCAGATAGTTTCAAATTATCTACATTCTCTTTGAAGATAAACGACAACAAGCACCTTTTAGGAGTGGACCATTTCTCTAAATAAAAGTAGCAAAGGTCCTCTGAAGAAAGACTCGAAAATCACAGTACGAGATTCACAACATAGACATAAACAAAGGGATAATAAACAATTTTTACAGCCTTGATAATTGTTCTCGGCTTTCTGCCGGACACTTTGGAATGATTTCATGGTGATTTTACGCGTACGTGCTCAATCGATATCTATGTTTACATATGAGTACTCTCATCGGTGGCCTACATTCGTAACAGTCCTACGGTATTTCATCATACGGTTGGCTCATTCGTGCACAAGCAGTGGCATTTTCGAAGTGTAGCCGAGTATTGAGGGCTGTAAGGGGACTGAGGTAGCCATGCTTCTCCAGGAAATCGTAGACTTCTTTCTGATATTTCTGCTCGAATTTGTGCAAATCCCTAGCCAGCACCATCGACGGATACTTCAAAGGCTGGCTGAACACGATATATTCGTATTCTCCACGTCGATTCAAGCCACCCATCTTCACAGGGAAATCTGAATAAACGCAAAAATAGGAATGAAATCAATCAATTAACTTTTAATATTATTATAGAAACAAACAGTAAAACCTTGGGTCTGGTAGATTCATGGTGTAATACATCTTTCCCAGTCGGGAAGTTTCAAGTCAAATGGAGCTCATCAATGAGAAAGTTTTAGTACCCAGCGAAATTACACCTACAATTTATTATAAACTCAAGTCACTTACTTGATTGAAAATTGATTGATACCGCTCAGTTACTTTTTACAAGTGTTTTTCTTAGAATTGTAAAAAGTAACTTAGTGGAATCTTTTTGTGAAAATGGCTAAATAGAGGGCTAGTTTGGGGCTCTTTGAAAGATAGAAATAATTTTAATGAATAGTAATTCAAATCTTACATGGGCAATTATCCAACCGATGTCCAGTCATGTACAGTACTTCACCCTGCTCCGGACCGACCTTGCGACCATATCCTGAATTAAAATTATTGCAATTAGTTTTAAATTCATCTGCTCGACTCGATCATAAGAGCCATTCACAAGAAGGACCCACCTAAGCCTATGATGGAATCAGAGAAAACATGGACTGCTTACCTTGATAGGTGACAACTCCTCCCTTATTAGTGGCATACATTCGTGAAGAGAACGTTGCAGTGAATTCAGTTAGAGCGAGCAATTCGACTGAAAGAGAGGGCGGGATTACCGAGCAAAGGCGGAGAAAAAAATCACGGGCTCAACGTAAACTTACAGTAATGCACAGCACATTGTTCTGGGTGGAAAGCTTTTGTATCGACAACCTATAACGACGAAATTAGAGAGATATCACTCAGTACAAGATAAAATTTCAAAAAATTATAACACAAAAATCATCTAGTACGTTTAATGTCATTCAGTCGAAGGGACGCAAAAGGGGAACAAATATTGAACAAATCAATTCATGGAGACTATGCTTATCTTCGGGCCAAACAACATTTCTCAACCACAACACCTAGTTTTTCCATCAATATTTTCGATACTATAAGCCCTTTCCGTTCACGAGAACAAAAATAGCAAAGAAAGTGATAGAAAATTGAAGGAAACATAAATAAGGAAAAGCTTGAAGAACATCATTTATATATGAATTTACATTTAGTAGTCTTTAAAGTGAGCAGGGTTTTCTATTAAGGAAAAATGAAAAGAAAATCAATAAAGAGCCTACAAAAAAGGTTTCACTGTACCAAGATTCTGAAGGTGAATGCGCTATCAAGTAAAACTATTGCAAAAAAGAAAGAATTTGCTGCTCTGCATCTTTAAAGTTAGCCAAAAGAATCGATAATCAATGCTCCATGCTATCATAACAGAAATTGATACGGCCCCATTCAAGGGCACAGTGAACGGAGATCTTCTGCCCCTATGCTAATTATAGTCTGGAACAGTAAGAAATCCACAAAAAAAGGAGAAAAATGAAAAACAATGCAAATATGTGGAACCAATGAGAGTACGGTTGAATTCAAACCTGTGGCTCAAAATTATTATGTTCATGAGGGCAAACCCCAAAGTTTGTTGGTTCCTTACCAGTAATTACTAAGAAATTATTGTAATTACTTACCGTATACCATTTGCCCATGATTTTGTCAAGGGGCACATCAGCCAGTGAAAAGAACAGCTGGTGGTAGACCTTTTTTGCAACTTCTTCAGCATTCAGTGAGCTCATAATCTACAAAAAAAGAGTTGGCCAATCCATTTGATCTCACTAAGACATTGAAATAATGAGTATGTAAGTACTGTAGTCTTTTGCTCTTTCTTCACTGAAACTCAATTTTTTTCAAGAACATTTGGACGAGTATGGTTCTAAAAAAGGAGTGGTCCTTTCGTTCCTGGAGTTATTTGAAGAAATGCGCACCAAAACACAAAATCGCAAGGACTCCACCACTTCGAGAATGGTTGTGCGGTACTTTGAATATTATTATGGATATATTCATTGAATGATAAGGCAGTTTATTGAGGAATTGATATTGGGCGAAAGACAAGATAGAACCGGCTCATGAAATTCAAAGGCAGGAGAGCAAGGTAAGACTCTTGGGCAAGGAGGGAGAGGCGATCAGCGGACTCTGACGATCGGGTACCTTCGGCCGCCACAGAAGAAGAAAAACTTGTAAACCAAATTTCTGGCCAAAGTTTCAATGTAAACCACTTCACCATCGTCCGTAAAATCCGAAAAAGTAACGAAGTATAGAAACTGATTTGAGGCATTAGTGAGTGAAAAGTTCTTGCGAAAAGTCGCAATAATAACGACCCTAACTGATTGATATCGCACTCACCTCAGCCAGTTGATCCATGCCAAACTCCTTACGAGCTTTGGGACGACATGAGGCACTGTAGTGCTCGAACAGCCTCAGAATAGGAACTGTTCGACCGGGAATCGGAAGACCACCCGTATAAGCAGGCCCTAAACAACTATGAATAAGCAGGGTTGCAAACATTGAAGAAACCGAGCAAATAGAAACAAATAAACCCTTGGGAGTTTGTACTATGACAATCATGAAACTTGGAATCAATGCAAAAAACTAATCATCTTTTTTTCAAGGAAGAGAAATTCCCTTTAGATTACGAACTTTAACCTTCTGTTTATCTCTGTATCCAAAATTAGTAGGCTCCAGTCCAGATTTAAAAGAGAAATGATGAAGTTACTAGAGGTTAAGGACAGGGGTGAAGTAATTGCAATTGATAAATCCCATTTTGATTTGCATCCTAACACACAACTTCCGATACGAAATAGCTTGAAATCTTTGAAAAATCACTTTTATTTGCAAAAAAGGCAATTCAAATAGCACTGAAACAAAAAATTCGCATCTACCTTCATCAACATTATAGTAAATTTCTTTAAAATCATACCAGGCTTTCAATTCAGTTTTATCAATGACTAGGAAATTGTTCAAACATAAAGCATTCTGTCGTATTAGCACTTACCCCCACATGATAGCAAAAACCAGTCATATGGTAGGTAACTGGAGCGGCACAGCGCTAGGTGATTGCCCCAATACTTAAATGCTACTTTTTTCTCATAAACTTTAACATTAAGAATAAATACTGCTATACCAGTAGGTTGGAGCTATTCTGCCGAGTTTTAGACAGTCGATTTTACGATTTCTTAGATAAGGAAGGGCTGAGGTGGAAAAGAGGCAAGTGGCACGTATCGAATTCCAGCTCAATTCTGCCTAGGCACGCTAGAACAGTGGAAAAAAGAAAAGTGAGGAAAGAAGAAAATTGCAGTTAATGAATTTTTGAAAAATGAGGAAAGAAGAAAATTGCAGTTGAAGAATTTTTATAATAAAGGATAACATTCAAGTCGGTGTTGGAGTAGATCCAAAAGACGCCTTTATCCCGACTATGGTCAAGAATTTAATCTTACAATTTTTTGAAATTTTTTATTGAACGACTTGGAAAACCGGCATACCTGCAAAACCTGTGAACACAGCATCCCCAAAGATCAGCGAGGCTAATAAAAAAATATAGCTGAGCAGTGATAACATATGCTCCCAGCCTGAAACAGATTTCTTTTCACAAGTGCAAGATATTTTCGAATCGATCAATTTATACAGAAGTCTTTTTACAAGTAGTTCCATTTAGGGTTGAAGTACTATATCTCCAATGTCATACCTGCATTCAGTACATAATAACCTATCAGAACAATATGCAATCGTTCAAATCCTATCCTACTTCATCAAAACTGGAAGAGATACAGGGATGACAGATCAATGGATAGAAATCATAAGCTATGGGACATCATAGACAAAGGTCGCTATACATTATGCAACTAAACATTTTCATTTTTTTCAAAAGCTCATGTTGGTAGCAGTCAAATGTGGGTTAGTAGCCATCTAGAGGTGAAGAGCTGGTCAAATAAAACTGCAGTCCGACTATTTTTAACGATTTCTCTGAATACTGGTTCTATCTAGGTCGTTTCCTGGGACTTTCCCAAGTGGTGTGGACGCAGGGCAGTCCAAAGTTTGATGCGGATCGATTTCCTTTTCAAGAGAGTTGAAAATCAATTACATCTCGGTGAACGACAAGACTATTTATTCACACAAGGTTGGTTACTTGAAAGCAAAACTTCAGTCTCGAGCGGTACTCGAACCCGTACTGAGACAAAACAAAAGCAATTAATAAGAACATCTAGCGCCGAAACTGTCAGATTTCCTTAATTATTCATACTCTCAACTGACTACGCCTCCATTCGTACGTTACGTTAAGTAGCAAAGATTGCTAAGGAAATATGAATAAAATTTTCCTGAGTATCCCAATCTTCAAATGCCGTAATAGACGTTCTCTGAAAACTAGCAATGCTCAGTGACCCATCCTTGGAGGGGAAAACTCTAAGGAAGTGTAAGAAACTAGAAGGTAATGA